TTCTCCTGGAGTTTTTTGGATCATTTTGCTGTTGCTTCTCCAATTCTCTGAGGCATGATGTTAAGTGATCCATTTGCCTTCTTTCCGTCTTCCTCTTATGAGCACTAATTTCTATAAGCTTCCCTGTTAAGACTGCTTTTTCAGTGTCCCAAAGATTATGGAAACTCGTGTCTTCATTGTCATTAACTTCCTTGAATCTTTTGATTTCTGACTTTATTTCATCAGTTGTTGTGGAGTCATTCAGGAGTAGGTTAGTTAATTTCTATTTTTATGAGTATTTTTGAGGACTTCTCTTGAAATTAAACTCAAGTTTAATTCCATCATGGTCAGAGAAGATGCTGGGAATATTTTCTATGCCTTTCAATCTGTAGAGGCTTGCTTTGTGTCTCATGATGTGGTCAATTTTTGAAAAGGTTCCATGTGGGGTGAGAAAAAAGTGTATCTCGTGGTTTTTGGATGGAAAGTTCTATAGATGTCTGTTAAGTCCATTTCATTTATGGTATCATTCAGATCCTTGATCTCTTTATCTATTTTTTTGTCTAGATGATCTGTCCTGAGGGGATAGTGCAGTGTATTGCACTAATTAGTGTATTGCAGTCTATCTCCCCTTTTAGATCTAACAGTCTTTCCTTCACATATTTGGGGGCTCCTGTGTTGGGCGCATAGATATTTATAAGAGTTATATCTTCTTGATCTATTGATCCTTTTACTACAATATAGTGCCCTTCTTTGTTTCTTTGAACCGTTTTTGTTTTAAAGGCTATTTTGTCGGAAATTAGTATCGCAACTCCAGTTCTTTTTTGGTTCCCTATTGCATGGAAAACCTTTTTCTAACCCTTCGCTTTCAGTCTATGTATGTCTGTATCAATGAGGTGGGTTTCCTGTAGGCAACAGATAGAGGGTCTCTTTTTTTATCCATTCGGCCAGTCTGTATCTCTTGATTGGGGAATTTAATCCATTCACATTCAATGTTATTATTGATGTTACTGGCCCTGTCCAGAGGTTTAAGTTGGCCATTGTCACAGCAGCCTTTTATTCCTTTGTTTCTGTCTGTTAGCTCTTTAGTTTTCATGGAACAGTACTTTCTTCAGGGTTTATTGAAGAACTAGTCTGGTGCTGGCAAATTCTTTCAGGTCTTGTTTTTCTGAAAAGATTTTAACCTTTTTTTTTTTTTCCATATGAAGGATAATCTTGCAGGATACAATAATCTTGGTTGAAATTGTTAGCACTTTCAATATATCTTCCCATTTTTTCCTTGCTTGCATTGTTTCCATTGAGAGGTCCAGAGTTAGCCTGATGGGATGACCTTTGTATGTCACTTCTC